CGGTTCTGTTCTAACCCACTACGTAACTAGTTTTGGGGAAATTATCATCATAACTTCCACAATCCTTTTTTTTTTTTTTTTGATAAACAGATGCTTCTTTCAGTAATTTTACACAGATGTTATCTTCTTTGCCGGACGTGAGCTGAATCTAGTGAACAAACAGCTTTAGTTAGGAGCAAAAACAAGTGGACTAATGTGTTTTGGCTGCCTGCAGGAGCACACCGGCGAGGTTTCGAACCCGTGGCGCATTACGTCTGCTGACATGACTGCGTGGCCTGTTTCCACACAAGCCGCAGCGATATTGGCGGGTGAGCCATCCACTGGTTTGCAATAAGCCCGTAATAGGCTTTACCGTCGCAGTGACAACAGCTTCAGCAAGCGCACATCCTGCTCAACTTGCTGCTGGCGTTTCCACTGCACAGTGCGCTCCAACTCACAGTATGTGTAGCCTGCAGTTTCTTTTACGTAAAGATCCGTAACAGAAAAGAAGATGCTGCGTGGTGCTACACTGTCTATTTTCGGTTTCGTGGTTCAAAAAAAAAAAAGTATGTTGTGTTTTTCGGGTGTTACCTTGACCTTATTTTTTTGTCAGTCAGATTCATGTTGATTTAAAGGAATCTGAAATTGTCAAATTTAAATGAAGGTAAATAGATAGAGGGCGGCCCAGTGGGGGACTGATTTGCGTGTCCGCCTCACAGTGCAGAGGTGCAGGGTTTGATTTCGGCTGTGGCCTTCCTTTGTGGAGTTTGAATGTTCTCCCCCGTGCCTGTGCGGGTTTTCTCCGGGTACTTCAGTTTCCTCCCACATTCCCAAAACATGCGTGGCAGGTTAATGGAACACTCTAAATTGTCCTTAAGTGTGATTGTGAGCGAGAATAGTTGTTTGTCTATGTGTGCCCTGCAATTGGCTGGCAAACAGTTCAAGGTGTACCCCACCTATTGCCCAAAGACGGCTGGGATAGGCTCCAGCACACCCCGCGACCATTGTGAGGATAAGAGAATCAGAAAATGGATGGATATCAAAATATAGGTTGCAAAAGACCCCCCAAAATGTAGGAATAATAGAAATGATATTGTTTATTGCAATACAGGTTAAATTATTGCTTGCAAAAAACACTTGGAAAAAGGTCCTTGAAAAATGAATTGCATAGAAATCGCAATCGCAATATTGAGGGCGGGGGGGTCACAATTTGATTATTTTTTTCTAAATCATTCAGCCCTACTCTATACACTATCTTACAAAACAGAAGGGAAACGCAGAAAAACATGGCTACTTTTACAGCAGAGTGAATGGAAATTCGTCACCCAGTCAGGGGAAAAAAAATTCAGCCCTACTCTATACACTATCTTACAAAACAGAACGGAAACACAGAAAAACATGGCTACTTTTACAGTAGAGTGAATGGAAATTCATCACCCAGTCAGGGGAAAAAAAATGGTTTGGAGAAAGTTGACCTCCGTCATGAAAGCCTCACAAGTGCATCACAGTGTGCTGATGCCACAGGCAAACATTTTATTAGATTTCAGTGAGGAACGTGGTACTTAGCCATAATTTAATTTCAAGTGAAGAGGTCTAGCACAGTGTTAGCCATACAAAATGAAAAGGAGATGGATGGATAAAAAGGTAAAAATGAAGAAATAAATAGATAGCGAGGCTTAGCTTGAGCTTCAAATAACTGCGCCGCAAGTAGAAATATCCCAAAACTACTTGGAAGTCTGCGGCACGGTGACACCACAGCGCAGAGGTGAAGGGTTCGATTGCCGGCTCCGGCCTTCCCGTGTGGAGTTGGCATGTTCTCACTGTGCCTGCGTGGGTTTTCTCCGGGTTCTCCCACATTTCAAAAAAATGCACGGCAGGCTAATGGAACACTCGAAATTGTCCCTGGGTGTAATTGTGAGCGCGAATGGTTTTTCGTCTCTGTGTGCCCTGCGATTGGCTGGCAACCAGTTCAGGGTGTACCCTGCCTACTGCCCGAAGACAACTGGGATAGGCTCCAGCATGCCCGTGACCCTCGTGAGGATAAGCGGATTCGAAAATGGATGGAGGGAACTGGAAAATGAAGTAAAAAAAATATATCAATGACATCATCGGTCACTCGATGATGTCAACTGGACTCACGTCAGTGTCAAGCCATTTTGCTTTGAACTGCCACTTGCCGTAAACTAAGAGTCACATCACTCGCGTCTTGCAAATGTCACATGACCAAAACCAGAAAACAGGTTAGCCGTGATTGATTCTTAGCTGAGCCTTGACGCACTGTGATGCCAATTTCAGTCGACTGCAAGTGGCAGTACAAGGCAAAATGGCCGCCACCCAAGTTGGATAAAAACTGATCGAGTTTTCTGTCCAATTCATATTTCAGAAACGCAATATGAATCTGTTTTGTTTAGACCAATGCGGGCACTTGGAACATATTGTCAAGAACATTTTTGACTTGAATTTAAAAAAAAAAAACAACAATGACTCCAGACCACATCCATTCTGAGCCCGATTTAGGCCGTGGCTTCTCGTTACAAAACTTCTTAAAAACGACTGAAAAAGGAAGCTCGAAGTCGCCATCAAAGCTTTGCCACTTCCTTCACACAGCTCAGTCAAACCTTGTGTCATGTGTCGACGGTGGACAGGAGCGACTAAACCAAAATTAGTCATCTCATGAACCGGCCAAGGAAAATCAACCGATTAAGCACGGGTGCGCCTGGTGCCGGCGGCGGCCATGAGACAGCAAAAGGGGAGGCCTGCTCGGGATGTCAACAATCAGCAACGTTATTCGACAGATGGATCAGGCTGCTCCAGACTGAAAGCTGGTGGTCACATGACTGGTGGATTAGCGCAACTGAAAGAGGGTGGAGGTTTAAGGGGTGGGGGGGGGGTTGTCACCACATGCTTCCTGATCCTTTCCCTCACAAGTTTTACCGTTTTTCTTTCACTCTTGACGAGCCCGCACGTCTGTTTTGGATTGTTACATGTCGGCATCGGAAAGATTCAGCTGACTTCCTGTTTCTATGCCGGTCATTGACGAGAAGTGCTTGACAGGGTCTGACATCTTTGACTCATAGCTCGGTCACACCAACCAAAGAAAGAAAAAAAAAAGAAAAACAAAGCTTTGATCGGCCCACTTCCAGCTAATCACGACGTCAATGCTGAGAAAAGTTTCTCCCCGATGAAGCGGCATAGCCGCTTGATGATAGAGCACAAGCCACCAAGAAATTTACAATAGAAAATACTCAACGTCCTTTCGGCAAATATTTGAAAATGTACCTTTAAAGTGGACATTTTCATCCAAACCGGGGGAGGGCAAAGTATGGCTGACATGCCACATGTGTTGGGCTTTGGGCATTTACATTGTCAAGAGTCCTCTATTAATTGTTGCATTAATGTAGCTGTGTGGTTTTTTTTTTCTAATAAAATTGCCTAGTTGCAATATTGTGGGGTCATTTTTGTATTATCTCTGTCTTAAGATATCTGCACATTCTATTGGTTACAAAATTGTTACTTTTTTCAACCTCCGTGGATCGTGACGCAACATAAAAAAAATAAGTAAATACGGCGAGCAAGAGACAACCACGGTTATCATTTTGTTTGTTTGATTAATTGATGTTTTTTAACCTAGGGGACTTTCAAGTTGTAACGTTATCCTGGGAGCATATACAGCAATGATGCAACAGATATTTGCAAACCTACAGCCTGATTGATTGAAAAGAATTGTATAATGTCTCCGCTCCAAGAATGATTTGTGGTGAAGTCACCAGTCCTCCCTCAAGCGTCCAAAATACTGCTGCTCGCCTACTAACTGGAGCTCACAGGATGGAGCACATAACTCCAATTCTGGTCTCTCTCAATCGCTTCCGATATACTATACCTTACCTGTCTGAACTCCCCCACCTCTGCGTACCTGCCCGGTGCCTTGGGTCAGCTGACTAGACGACTGGAGGGATCAAGGACTAAGCGAAGGCTCAGAGGGGATCAAGCTTTTTCCGCTACTGTTCCCTCTCTTTGGAATGACCTTTCATGAAACATTAGGCAAGTAACCTCTGTACCGATCTTAAATACTCTGATAAAAACGTGTTTTTATTGTTTGGCTTTCGACTCAGCAAGACATTCGAGATTGTTTTACGTTTTTTTGAAGATACTGTTTTTATGTTACAGTATATGTATTTGTTTTCATATGTCTGATTTTTACTTGATGTATAGCCCTTTCTAGTGGTCATTTTTAAAGTGCCTTATAATTAAAGCTGAGTTGAGAATGTGTCTTGTGCCATTCCAAAACGATGACAAATTGTTCTGCATCTAATCTTTAAAAAAATGCAGATAAAATTGCATTTTTTTCAGTTGTCAGTGTAGTTGTCAGTAATTTCACTTTTCTTTAGCTTGTCAGTTCATGACATTACAAAACTTATGAGAACACATTCTTGTGTTGGAATTAAAGTAGGACGTTATTTTGTGTGCAGAGAAGTTTTGAGAACGAAGAGAAAAAAACTTTTTTTGGGTCGATCCGTACTTTTTACTTGCGATGTGCGTTAAATCAGTTCGACTTTCACCAGAGTATCTTTTACACAAGTATGTATATTTCTACTTAAGTACGGCGTGAGTACGTTTACCTATTTTCAATTTATAGATAACAAAAATGCAATATATTTACTTTTTCAATGACAGTGACGGTACTACCTTGCCCAACACAGTTACTGTTGCACCAAACATTAGCAAAACCACAAGTGACAGCGAAGACCAGTAAGCGTGGAGGTAGTGGCGGTGGTGGGATGGGAGGGGAGGGGGCAACAACAGTGATGCCCTCAGCCGCCTGTTGAGCCTCGACCGGCGGACACATCTGCACAGAGGCCACCCTTCGCCTCGCCGAACAAGTTTGTTTCCAAACGTTGCATTGTATTTGCGTGCCGTAATAGTTGAGGGTCAAGTGGCACGCAGGACGTTTTCCCCACTCCCTCCCCTCTCCTCACCCCCCCGAGAAAAGACTCAACAACACTCGTAAATGTCACGCTTACCTCCGTGGGGCGACGACTGCCGCGCGGCTCTCCTGTGCTCTGGTGCGGCCACAAGCTGCTGTGACACGGGGAGCTTTTTCTCTCTCTCTCTCTCGACCTCTCAATGGGTAGCAGGGTCAGTCGGTGGAATTTGTTACAGTTTACTGACCCCTCTCTCTCTCTCTCTCTCTCTCTCTCTGTCTCTCTCTCTGTCTCTCTCTCGCTTTCTCGTTGCCCCCGCCCACTTCCGGTGTCACTCACTGTTGGTGAGGTTTAACGACGACGTGTCGAAGTCAAAGTCGCATTCGGAGGCACTAAAAACAGCACCTTACAACAGTTATTTGGTCAAGGCATCCATTATACGTTCGATAAATCAAACCACACATCACGAAAATAAAATGTTCCTAAAATTCGCGACTTGTTATTATTTTGCTCCTTCCGAAAAGTCAGTTTTCCCCAAATTCAACATTTTCAAACAATTATTGCCTCTTCGTTTTCAATCGGACATTCAACATAACATCACCTTTTCCATTTGTAATTCAAAACATTCAGCACATTTAAATCACCATGGGGACAATTTTCAATTGGCCAAAAATTCCCACTGACCCAAAACTCAACAATTTCACCACTAAAATTCCCATTCCCCCCAAAATCCTCATTCACTCCCAATGACACATTCAACAAATCCGATTCAAATCATCGTTCCCATTTAAAGGTCAAAAAATTCTGCACATTTAATTCACCCTGGTAACGATTTTCAACAAACCAAAAATGTCCTTGTCCCACAAAAAAATCCCCATTCATTCCCATTCCACACCATTTAATCCGAGTCTGTCACACTCAACATCATTTCATATCATTCAGACCTTGTTCTAGATTTTTTTCAGCATTCAAGCATTCACACACAACAGGTCGATCCATAGGTTTGTTGTACCGTTCTCAATCTAATGAAATAGCATGTGAGTGTTCCACCTGTCACTAAATGCAGTGTACTGTTTTTAAGGGCTTTAATATGACAGCAGCACTACTTCTACCGGCAAGACCTTTGGGAGTTTTGGTTTTAGTGGTCTCCCCCTTTCCACTTCTCGCTCCACTGGAGAAACTCTGCTTCGTTTTCCTCATAACTGCAACAAATATGAATCAAGGCTGCAAATGCTCTGTCAGAAAGTAGAATCGTCCATAGCAAGAGAAGCATGTTGAAGTGGCTCTAACCGATTTAAGACGGAAATAATAATCGCTTGAAATAAAGATAACTTTTAAAATCAAATTTTCATGAAATATCAGCAGACCAAGCAGTTGCTGGTATGTATTGTATACAAGGTTGTGAACTACTGTTGAATATAATTTTTCATTCAAAAGTTTAATTTAAAAAATATTACAGTACACACATTTAAATATTTGTACTTATAATAAAATACATACAGAAAAAAAGATCATTAAATGTATTTGTATGCATGGACACTTGAATGTGAAAGTTGTCTACCTTTCTTCTTATTTATTTATTTATTACAAGTACATTTTTATATGTGTTTATGACCTTCTACTTCTAATAAATACATACATACCAAAAATATTTAATATAAATATATATATAGGGCATGAAACAACATGTTTCTACTTTTTAACCATGCAAAATAGTTGTAATTTATATGTATTCATTTTAAGCATAATTTTTTGAATCATTCATTTTTTTGTATTTGAATGTGGTAGAAATCCGCTATGTATTTAAATCACTATTCCTTGGACTGATTAGTACACAATTAAAAAAAGAAGCAAAGCCATAAAATATACCGCTTATAATTCCACTTGATTAAATATAAGCTACTTCAAACATAAAATTTTAGGATTTAAAAAACAACAACAACAGAAACGGATAAAGCACCTTTACATTGCTCTCTATATATAATAATATAAAATATAATAAATACATTGGAAACTAATGATCGATTGATCGTCATCCCGAACAACAGTGACCCCCTCGGGCTTAAAAGTGAACTACATTTCATTTCACAAACGCACAGAGGAGAAAGGTTAATTCGTTTTTAATTGGTTAAGTCATTATTTATTTTCCAATTAATCCGATGTTTTTGTTGCATGTCGGGTTTTCGAACATAGCTCTAAAGGTTGTTTTTCAATTTAATTGAATTATTCAATTGACTTCATTAATGACATTAAACTCAAGAACAAATTGCAACAAGGTGTCAAATGTTAATTTAAAACCTGCAATAAAATGACTTCATGAACGAAAGCAAATAGGACGTTTCTTCTGTTATAATCACTTCAAAGTGCAATTCCGAAAAAAAGAATTAAAAAAGGGGCGGTGGTGTCTCGAGATGATGTCACGGGGCTTTTTTATCAGTGAACTGACGAGAAATTAAATGACATTGAGGGAAAGACTTCTCGGGTGTCGCTCTGACAGAATGAAAGTGAAAATAGGAAGTTTCATTTTTATCTTTGCGTGCGTGCAATATCCAAATAAAGAATGGCACCCACACCGAGACCTCACAAGCAAGCCCCTGCAGAGCTCTTTTCTTCGAATCATGTCTGAGTTCCTTTTTTAAGTTCCAATGAATTTATTTCACCAGTGCATTAATTTAAGCAAATTAAGTAGACATATATTTAAACATTCATTCATCGTATTCAAATGTATTGGACCTTTGTGCATGTCAAATGATTCTGAATCAGTGGAAAAGTTGCCTATAAGGAAAGACTATATTTATTGTATAACCGGTCTTCCTCATATATGCTTTTCTAAGCACTCAGCATCTGTGTAAACCACTAAAACATAAAACACAATGACAGCAAACAAATCACATTTAAAAAAAATAAGATGAATAATAATATAGTGAAACATTGAACCTTGTAAATAGAAACAAATATAGCAATGTTAACATAAATTGAAGTATATTTCATGTTTCGACAATTAAAAGATAAACCCTGATAAATTGTCCTATTTATTTAAGATTTTTTTTGTCCAAGCCTTTTTTTTTTTGTTCATGTCAGCTGTAATTATTGAAATATATTTTGCACATATTATTCTGTAAGCTTCCACATTGAAACGTAATATGATTTTACATTTTCGTGTGTATTCATTTTTATTATTTTAACAATGAGACACTGCTGGGTGAATTTGTTTTTATTGCCTAAATATAATGAGTAGTAACACTAACATTTGTTTTTGTACAGGAAACAATTGTTTAACATGGCAGTTGTGCTCCAAACAGTCATTTGGAAAGAGATGCACAGATTTTTAACACCACACCTTAGGAGAAAGAAAATATAAATCAGGCCAGATCCAAAGCAAACATGTTGATAAGCAGAAGAGTGCTGATAAAATAAATCTAAGTACTGGTATGTACATATTGTTTTAGAGTGCTTGAAGGGGAATATGTTAAAAAAATGGCAACGACCACATTTGCATGATTCCATTCGGCAGGGATGAAAAGTGAGACACAAAAGTATTCTTTTTTTTTTTTTTTAAACAATGCCATAGCTTATACGACAATGAATCTCTCGCGACGCACACACATTCATTTCGAAACATACACTTGAAATTGATATCATACTTGCATGCCACCAATGTGAGGAGACTGTTGAAGGTGACAGACGCATCACAATCAACAACAGTGTAGGTGGAAACTTGTGTTACCATCTTTTCTCTGCAAACACTCAATCAATCTAAACTCAAACCAAGTTGGATGGGTTCACATGCATGGGAGAAGCTACATCCATGTCCAGAGTCAGGGATTCTGTGGAAGAACAAAAGCAGTCGAGTTAGTTCATGTTTTGTTTTGGTTTTTACTTCACTTTAGTGTGGGGTTCATATCATGTCAATGCGTAATCTTATCGGTCACAATATTGATGAATCACTGCACAGGTTCTTTTTTTTTTTTTTAGCCCTTTCTAGATTCATTTAGAGGCGACTTCTTATGGGGAATTCGATGGGCTTAAGTGGTGCGACAACTCTATTGTCACACTAAATAGGAAAGAGAATTAAATGTGCGTCTGCTAGCTTAATGCAAACAAAGAAAATTGACACGCTGATAGAACTACCGTCGCGATGTCAGCAGTTCAAAACCTTTGAAAAATGTCATATTTGAACTTCATTAATACACACACACCATAAAACAATAGATATATATTATGTATCCTCTGCAAAAACAACTAATGTTACAGTGCTAAGTTGCAATGGGCTTTTTCACCATGAAGTCGACATGTAGCCTGTCTGTATGTATTATACTGCCCCCTAATGGCCAAGCCGCACACGAAAAGGATAAACCCAGTAGTTACTGTAAAGCATGAAATCTGTCAAGTTCCTTTTTTTTTTAAATTAAAACATGTTATAGTTTTTTGGGGGGGTGGTTGATGGCATTCAATTCATTTTATGGGGAAAGACGATTTGAAATTTACATAAAAAAAAAAAACTAGTCTTTAATTGAGTGAATAATTATGTTCATCGAACCGAGTCCAAATCCTCCTTTCTTTTCATCCTAAACATGGACATAAGATGTCCCTGACATTGTGGCAGCTGACCGTATATGTACGAGTGTGTGTTTCTGGCTAACTCACCCAGATGTCCTGGATTAGCCTCCGCTTCATTGGGCATCAGCGAGTCCAGAGTGCGCGGAGACAGTGAGAGTGAGAAAAGGTCGCTGGTGTTGCCCGAGTTTGTCCTGGCGAAAGACAAAAACAAAAAAACAACAACAAGCAATGACATCACTGGCTTCAGTAGACAGCCATGGACACACAAACACACTGACATGCTAATTGGGTTAGCTGATTGTGAGATGTTTCGCTGAGTGCTGTATAAAAAATGGCAATGAAAGGGAGCGACGAAGGAAGAGGTAGTGACATTACAGACTCACTCATCCCAATCAATTGATATTGTACCACAGCGATTATAAATGTTGACCCACTAATACCGTATATTTGTGCCGTAAAAGAGGCGGCATGGCACCTGTGTATAAGGGAATGCCGGGGCATAGGACTGATGCTGAACACCCGCTTCTGCCCTCTTGCGAAAAAATGGATTGAATAAATCCCACTTCACTGGGTTCTGCATAAACAGCACTTGATCGTATCAGAGCCCTAACAGTCAGGGATAATAGAGATTAATTTTCCACTCTTGCCACTCCCACGTGATTGCATGATGTGTGTCGCCGTGTGACAGCCAGGGTAAGAATACTTTTGGATTTTTCATTGTAGTTAGTTTTTCATTTTGTTTTGAGTTTTGTGTTATAAATCAACTTAGATTTATTTCATATTTATTGCAAATATTTATTGCAATTTAAAAAAAAAATCACGGTAAGTATGTAAGTTTGTAAAAACTCAACAAAAATATTACTTATTACTTTTATTTTTTCAAACAACCACCCGCAAACAAAATACAGGTACTGTATAAAAAGTCCAGGTGCAGTGCATAATAGTGCTTCGATAGCTAGTGCATCGTAACGTTAACGTCTTGAATGAAGCAGGATGGTCTGGCTTTCCATCCCTTGTTTGCCATGTTGCCAACTTCTAAAGGAGATTTGCTTTTATATGTGAATCATAGTCAAATTGGGTGCTTGGTAGGTACGCAATAGGTAGAAAGACAGATAGAGAGATAGACAGAGTACATAAACTTAAACCCAATTCTATTGTGTACTATTTTTTTTTATAGACAGTATTTATTTTTCATATATGAACCACAAAAGGAGAGCACGAGTTACCTAGCATAGTGTAGCATCACTTAACCCAGGCTGGGTTCAGTGACAAAAGCTGGGAAGCCACAACAAACACATCAAATCGCCTCGAGACCGGCTTGTCGCCAAGGTGCAACGTCATTTGGTGTCGCTCTTTTACTGGCTGCTGCCAAATGGCGTCACTTCTAGGTGACACACAGTCAAAAGTGCCACAACTCCCAGGGGACTGATCGACAGGGGTGTAGTGGGCGTGGTACGCGGGCGGGGGTACGCCGTCCACCCACTTCTCCCGACGCCACATTCAATTTTTATTGAAATGTTTGTTGATCATTGTTCTAATGCGAGTTATGCTTAATAACGTTGGCCTGTGATTATTTTGGAGTAGTAAAACATTAAATTTAACGTTAGTTCAACTGGTGTTGTAGCCTATGATTGATGTTCTGCATGTATATATAGAACATCCCAGAATCGCGTACACCCACTTAAAAAATCCCCACGACACCACTGCTGATCGACCTTGCTTCTTGCGGCTAACGGCTGTGTTGTAATTCCGAGATAGATTTCAAAGCTATGCAAAAGGCTCATGTATTCATTTGACAAAAAAGGAAACGGAATATTTTCAAAATAACTCTAGTTCTTGTTTGGGGTTTTTTTTCAATTTTCCTTTTGGGGATTTCATTTTGTTAACTATAATGTCCTTGGTAAAAGCACATAGTTGCGGAAATGTGTAACGCTTATCAAGCTTATCAAGCACCGCATTGCTTTGCGATAGTGTTGATGGGTGAGCTGATTATGGGCACACACAAACACACGCACACACACACACATATACAGTCCCTACATGCCCCGCCCCACCAAAGCGCCTACCCCGGGAATCCGTTCCCAAGCAGCTCACTGTCCGGAAAGTCCATGAACACGGAGGGACACCTACGGAGACAGGTCAGGCGTGTGTGGTCTTTTTTGTATTATGACTTTCAAACAGCAAATCTGCTTTTGAAGGACTCAACAGTCTGAAACCACCTGACAATTCATCCGTCCATACACCTAACCAACGCGTGGCATCGTTACTCACAATTGGCCCTGCTGACCAATTGTACTTTCTCAAGTTCTTTTTTTCCCAAGTGTCTTTTTTTTTTAAACACGTTGAGCTTTTAAGACCACCGCACTTAAAGCCAATCAGAGTACATAACTGAATTATTCTTTTTTGGACCGCTACGATCACATCAGATTGATTTGTCAAATCAAATCTAACGTTAACATTCATCTGTAATTTAAAAACAAGTACGTCTACTCACACGCGCGCGCCCACACACGCACATACAGTACACACACACACACACGTCCTTCAACATCTGCCAATCAATTCTTGCACACGTAGTGTGAAGGTGTTCGTATATTCATATCTACAGATAAATATCTGAATGCCAGTTTGTTCACACACATCATATAAACAGCCACTTGTCCATTCGTTTTCGTACAAACACACGCATGGGGCTCTATTTTCGTACACATGCAAAATGTCTGCAGATGCCGATTTTCGCATCAGGCTCACTGGGCGTGTTGGTCAATTTGGCAGACCGGTCCCCACTGCTTTGATTAACCTAGATTGATGTCAGTTGTGACCACATCCACAGCGGCAGAGCCCTCCATATGCACACAGGATTTACGCTGGTCACGAAAAGAGAGCCCCATAATTGAAACACCTGTCAGAGTTCCAGAGTGTTCGTTGACTCCGACGGTTCCTATTTGTTTTCAACATTAGTAATTCAAATAACAGTAAAGACTTCACAGAGACACATGGTAAAAATTCAGTGTCTCTGCATAAATCTCAATATGGACACAGAAGGAGGTTAAAAGTCATACTCACGGGGTAACGCAGATGAACTTGGTCTTCAAGTACGGCTGAATGACTGGTGAAGGAAAAGATGGAGTTAAAAAAAACAAGTATGATAATTACTCGATAAATGTGAGCATAAGCTGAGACGTACTACTTGTGGAGTCTCCCAGCTCGGGTTCAGGAGCAGCCTCCGGTCGACAGTACTTCCCGAAGGCTTCCTCCTTGGGAATTTCGGGATACAGATACACGAGGGGGGAAACCAGGATGTTGGTGGCATCCATGATTTTGTAGCCCATGATGATATCGGCGAAAGACATGTTGTTGAGTTGCTGCTTGGTGTATGGCTCCACCGACTGAATCTGAGTTTTGCCTGTCAGTGTCGAGAGTAGCTTGGTGTCAAAACCCAATACTGAGACCGCATCTCCCATTGCGACATCCTCCGACTGTTCGACTTTTCATTCATATGCACAGTATATCTACCGTAAAAATAAGCATGATATGCCTTACCGTTGATATCTTTCTCAACCCACGTGAACGTGATGCCGCCTTCCTTGCTGCTCTCACTGAAGCGCAGAAGAAACGTGCCCGGCGGTTTGGGGCTAAGAATGGCCCTCTCTCTCTCCTTGCTGATAAAGCCCATGATGTACCTGGAGGTCAAACAAGTACATATTTTAAAGTCTAAATGGAAGCAGAGGGTCTATAAATACCTACAAAATTTCACCACCCCCTTACCCCTCATTCCACAGCGCAAGGATGTACTTCTTGACCAGGTCGATGATGTTGTCTAGCCAGACCCAGAAAGAAAAGCCTTTACCGGCCATATTCTCCTGCAAGGAAATAAATTAAAATTTGTAATCAGGTCAGCAACAAGGTTCCAACATGGGCGTCCCAAAGGGAGTTAAACATGACAGAGAAAGAGCCAGCTGAAGTACCTTACAGAACTTGGCCCACGTAAACTGACAGCCTGAGTAGTTGACAGACGGCCCTGAAGGTAAAATGGAACAATTAGAGAGTAAATCGACATGTCATACAGGAGTTAAATTCAAGATCATGCGAAAATCTGCGATGGACAGAGACAATAAAACACCCCAAAATTCTGATTAAAAAGTGGTTAGAAAATACGGACTAATGGAATTTAAAAAAAAAAAGTTTTTTTTTTTTTTTTTTAGTTTGTCTTAAAAATGTTCCTCCCGTATACTTTTTGAAACTGATGTCAAATAAAAAAATAAATAACATTGTTTTAGAGAAAAATCTGTGACATGCCGTGACCACGATACAAGGGGGTTTCTGTGTAATATAGTCACTGTTGATACCGTGTACAAGGGGTCCTTGGTTTGTATTAGATTAGATTACCGTATTTTCACACCTATAAGGCGCCATTAAAAGTCTAAAATTTTCTCCAAAGTGGACAGCACGCCTTATAATGCGGAGCGTCTTGTGTATGCGCTGAGTACCAAAACCTGATAGAGAGCCGACACGCGTTTAT